CATGAGTAACGCATTGCACTATGATGTTACGATGGTGATGTCACTAGGCGATAGAAGTTTTTCAGCTCCTTTACTATCTTATGGAACCATCATCGTATATGTGGTCTGTCACTGACCAAAATGTCATTATGTGGCATATGACTGTGTTGACTGGATTCTGTAAGGCTAAAGGCAAAAAGAACTGTAGAAAATTCTGTAATCTAGTCAGTAAATGTGTTTCTATAGGATTGTGAGTTAGTAGTTCTGAAAAAATATATATACCAGAATTTATGTACAGTAGTCCCCCCTTATCCACAGGGGATATATTCCAAGACCCACAGTGGATGCCTGAACCACAGAGAATATTGAACCCAATGTATATTATGTTTTTCTTATACACACATATCTTTTCACTTAAAGAAGCTCTTTATGGCTTCTCTTTGGCATATCCGAATTGCCAGCATCAGTACCCTTGTGTGGATATGCTGGACAAACAGGTGACTCATGTCCAATGGGATGGAGTGGGATGGTGTGAGATTTCATCACACAGAATGATGTGCAATTTAAAACTTATGAATTGTTTGTTTCTGGAATTTTCCATTTAATATTTTGTACCAAGGTTGACTGTGGGTTACTGAAACCATGGAAAGTGAAACCGTGGATAAGGGAGGGCGTCTGTATACCAGGGCTGCCAAAAAAATGTACACACTTTAAGAAATGTTATCTATGTATTACTTTTCAAAGTTGAATTGAATTACGGTAGCAATGTATAGTATGACATTTGCTCAAAATATGGTGTTAATCAAATAAATACTAGCGTCATTCATTGTACTACAATTTTAATACAGTTTTTTCCTTTTTTAAAATGTGTGTACTTTTTTTGGCACCGTGCGTGTATGTGTAGTGTGTAAATACATACGTATACTTCCTAGATCTATCTGCTGAGAGTTCCTAGAAGCAACGACATCCCAGTAGCAATGAGCACTCCTATCACCCAGATCTTGATCTCTAAATACCCTTTTCTAATAAAAGGAACCAGGGCTCTGAGAAGAAGTAGTTGATTGTAGGACTGGGGTGGGGAAAATACAAAATCAGCTTGGAACATCCTTGCAGTGCCAGAAAGTAAGGAAATGTTAAGATAGATGATAGATAGATAGATAGATAGATAGATAGATAGATAGATAGATAGACAGGCAGATATAGATATAGATAGATAGAAAGAAAGAAAGAAAAAAGAAAAGAAAAGATGGAAGCTTGTAGGGAAAACACAGGCGCCAACCTGAAGGAGCTTCTAATGGCACAAGCTGGACTAATTTGAGCAAAAAATAAATAATGATAGTATTAGGTTTTAACCCATAGGATAAGATAAATATTCTATTCATGAATCCATACTGATGTAAGTAAATAATAAGTAAATGTGGAGAAGGGACAACTCTTACAGTAGAATTCTAATTAATTAATGTAGAAGGAAAGGGGAAATAGTGAATCATCATTAGGCAAATACCAGAAATAATTACCAGAAATAAGATCCACTGATAAATGCTAAAATTAATGTGCAAAGGTTTGAGGAGAGGTCAAATGATTTTTACAAAACTGCCAAGACCATTAAATAGGAAAAGTACAATTTTTTTCAACAAATGTTTTTGGGGAAACTGGATATTCACATGCAAAAGAAAGAAGCTGAACACTTACCTTGGACCATATACAAAAATTAACTCAAAATGGATCAGAGATATAAATGTAAGACGTATTTAGAAGAAAATATAGGGAGAAAGCTTGATGACATTGGATTTGGCAGTAGTTTATTATTGGTTATGACACTGAAGACACAGGCAATAAAAGAAAAACTAGATAAATTGAACTGCTTCAAAATTAAAAACTTCTGTGCATCAAGGGACACACCAACAAGAGAAAAGGCAACCTATGGAATGGGAAAAAATATTTGCAAGTCATATCTGAGAAGAGGTTAATATCCAGAATATGTAAAGAACTCCTAAACTTAACAATAAAAAAATTATAATTAAAAATTAATAAAGACCTTGAATAGACATTTCTTCAAAGATAATATACAAATGGCTGATATGCACATAAAAAGATGCTCAACATCACTAATCATTAGGGAAATGCAAATCAAAACTACAATGCGATATCACCTTACACCCATTAGAATGGCTGCTATCAAAGCAAAACAAAACAAAACAAAACAAAACAAAAAAACAGAAAACAACATGTGTTGTCAAGGATGTGGAGAAATTGGAACCCTTGTTCATTGCTGGTGGGAATGCAAAATGATGCAGCTGTTGTACAAAACATTATGGCGGTTCCTCAAAAAATTAAAAACAGAATTACCATGTGATCCAGCAATAGCACTTCTGGGTATATATCCCAAAGAATTGAAGGTAAGGTCTTGAAAAAAGGTTTGTAACCCATGATCATAGCAGCATTGTTCACAATAGCCAAAAAGTAAAAGCAACCTAAATGTCTACTGATGGATGAATGGATAAACAAAATGTGGCATAGACATACAATGGAATATTGTTCGGCCATGAAAAGGAAGGGAACTTTGACACATGCTACAATGTGGATGAGCCTTGAGAGCATTATGCTAGGTGAAATAAGTCAATTACAAAAAGACAAATACTATATGATTTCACTTATATGAGGCCAACAGAATAGTCGAACTCATAGAAACAGAAAGTAGAATGGTGGTTGCCAGGGACTAGGGAGATAGGGATATGGGGAGTTATTTGATGGGTATAGAGTTTAAGTTTTGCAAAATGAAAAAGTTCTGGAGATTCGTTGCACAACAATATGAATAGTTAACACTACTCAACTGTACACTTACAAATAAGAGTAAATTTTATGCTATGTGTATTGTACCACATAATTTTTAAGTTCGAAGAGAAACAATTTGTATAGTCTCAAAGTATCTCTTCTTAGATGTCTATTAACTAGAAAGGAAAGAGAGTAGCTTTACTGTGGAGAAACCCAGCAGAGACCTCCTTAATCAAATGATCAAGGTTAACATCATTAGTAATAAGATATATCAACATCAGGAATCCTGTGATATGATGCACTGGAAAGGATACAACATCATTTTTGTGGTATTCTTGCCCAAAATGCATAACCTCAGTTCAATCATGAGAAAACATCAGACAAATACAAATAAGAAACATTTGACAAAATAATTGATGAGTACTGGTTAAAAGACTCAAGATGATGAAGGACAAGGAAAAATGGAGGAACTGTTATCGCAGTCTTACATAACTGCGGGAGACTAAGGAGCAATAACTAAATGCAGTGTTTGATTCTGGATAGAATTCTGGGACAGAAAATGAACATTAGTGGAAAAACTGGTGACATTCCAATAAGATCTTTAGTTTAGCTAATTGAAATAATTTAAATTTATTTCAACATATTATTTAATTAAATAATTTTACATTTAATTTAGCTAAACATGCTAATGTTAATTCCCTAGTTTTGATCATTTTATTGTGGCTATGTAAGATGTTAACATCAGGGGAGGCTGCGTGAGGAAGATATGGAAACTATACTATTTTTGTAACTCAATTAACATTGATTTGGAAGACAGAAACCTACCCTATCATTCATAAAACCATTGTATTCATAATGTGTTGGCGGCTGTCAGGAATCTGAAGTTCAAATCTGAAGTGAGTTTCCCAGATATCAGAGGGAGATTCCTCTGGAGAGGGTGTGAGGCCAGGGGAGTCACCCAGGCTCCTTTGCTCAGGAATCTGTGCTTCTTTCACAAAAGTGTTGGACTCACCTGTATAGTGGTGACCCCTCCACCTCTCAGGACCCCACTGACGGTGGGAAGATTCTACGGGCAGCCTCCTTTTCCCAGTTACAGCCTCCAGGGGTTCAGTCAGTCCTTGCCTTCCCAAGGACTCCCTTCTGTCTGGGAAGGTGGTACTCTCAGATCTGACACACTCTGGACTTCCTTGGTCACCTGTCTCTTCTTCTTCATCTCCCCACGTCTTAGCTCTGTCCCAGGGAGTTCTCAGTTCGAGGCTTGTCTCCTCCTGGGACTGATTGTTGCTTGGCAACATCTGAGACTGACGCCCCCAACCCACCCCTGTGGTTTCCCACTCACCTAGTTTCTCTGAAGTTTGGTGTGTGTGTGTGTTGGTGATGGGCTTTCTTCTTCTTCCTCTTCCTCTTCCCCTTCTCCACTCCCCTACTCTTCTTTCTTCCTCTTCTTCTCCTCCTCTTCCTTCCCCTCCTTCTTCTTTTCCCTCTTCCTCTTCTTCTCCTTCTCCTGTTGCTCCGGCTCCTGCTCCTGTTTCTACTTCTTCAGTTTGAAGAAGAAATGGGACCATTTAGAATTAAACTGATGCCATGTTACTTTCAGACCTGGAATTCTGACAGGCTGAGCTGGTATTCTCTGTTTACAGAGAATTCACATCTACTCCCCACCTGTTCCTCCCTGCCCTCGTCCTGGGAACGTGCCTTCTTGAACTGCATCACCCAGGCTCCCTCAGCCTCAGCCCCTTGGGTTCAGCCGATGGGGTATATCAGTAGGAGGTCGAATCCTACTGACTGACACCCATGACTATGTGGGTGTGGACACGATGGGGAAGTCCTTCTTTGGTGACGGATATACCAAGTCTCCAGGAGCCTGGGCTTGGCTCCCCTGTGGCTGAGATGGATCAATGTGAGCGGGAGATGTGGGCTCAGTATATGCAGTGAGCTCAAATCCATGAAGCAGAAGCTGGAGAAAGCATAGGCAGGATGGACAATCATGAAACTCGGGACATTCATGATATTATCTCCTATTCAAATCACACAAGAAACCATTATGCTTAAGACATAAGACAGCCCTAAGTATTTATTTTATTTTATTTTATTTTTTTTTTTTTTTTAGCTGAGCCATCCTGCCACCTGTTGGCAGCTTCACGGCTGCTCAGCTCGGGCTGACTCGAACCACTGTTGCTCAGAGCTCAAACTCTTGAGCGAGCTCTTAACCAACTGAGCCACTCAGCCGGCCCTAGACAGCCCTAAGTATTTAAGTCCTTTTTTTCTTTTTTCAGAATTGGTAACTGCTAAGTTGGAAAATTGCTATTTGAAAATTCACTGTCCTTCACTTGATGCAGGCTGCTGGTCCTTTGCCAAACTGGGTTGTTGAGCAAATTCCACTTGGAGAATTAGTTGGCTCCTGTCAAGGCCTGATTCTCCCTGCCCCAAGGCCTGGACTTGACCTTCTGACTCAGGACAAGCTGACATGCGTGCCTGTGTTCAAGGGCTGCTCCACTGGGGCCCAGCATGGGCCAGGCCTTTTCCAAGATGGGCTGGTTTCCACCTGAGTCATCCTCAACTGCATCCAGGCTGGCAGTGTTGTTCCTTGTAGGAGTCACCTGAACCCAATCCCTCAGAGAGGAACCCAGCTCTGGCTAGAAGGGTCTTGGACTGGAAAAGAGTCCATCATCAGGCAGCCAAGGGCTGGGCTGAGAGGACAGGTGCTGGAGCTGGAGGGCCAAGTGGACCAGGACCTGGGACAGAGCACCAATGTCTGGGGCCCAAGTCTGGTCTTGGGCAGCTTGGTGTCTCAAGGTCTCTTGTTTTTTCCCGGTTGGACATTTGGGATTCATGTTTGGACCCAGCCTTGCCTGGAGATCTGGGGCCATGGTGTATTGTTCCTGGAGCCAGGGTGCTCACAGCAGGGCAATGCATTAAAGAGGAACAGAGTCTTGTGGGGCGGGAAATGATGTGGTAAGGGCAGCAACAGCCTGACAGCAAGGGAAAAGCATAGCTAGAGGCTGTGGTGGGCTGAGCTCTAGTCTGGCACTGGGGCCAGAGACCTGTTGAGTGGCCAAGTCCTGACAAGGGCCTGTTGAGGGGCTGGTGATCTCTTGAGGCGAGGGGGACTGTGAAGAGTATCCCAGGGTGGGGGCTGGTGAGAAAGGGCCCTGTGTGGGCTGGAAGACACACACAACCTCAGGGGAAACAGAGAAGGGGCTTTGATGAGTGCAGGGAACGTCCCTGTGTATCTGTCAGCCTAATTCCTACTAGCCATGTCCCAGAAGCCCCCCCACCCTCGACAACATTTCCCTGGCATCCTGAGCAGAATATTCTGGTATTTGGCTACAACAAGAAGGCCTGTGGTCAGGTAAACACTAGTTAGGTGCTGCCACACCCTCGTGGGCAGCTCTGAAGGGTGAGAGAGCCTGCATGGGGGAGGTGGCCTTGGGCTCCTCCCTCAGGCCTGACTGCATGAACAAGGACTTGGAGAACTTTCCCTTGATGATTCCTGCCCATTGGGGTCACATCCCCCAGCCCTCTGGCTCCAAGGCAGCCTCATATCCCCATCTACTCTTTGGCCTACACACTAGTTGGTCAGGGCTCATTGTCAAGTGGCCTCTCCATGTCACATCAGTGATGAGGAGGAAGGAACAGAAGTTTACCAGGAGCTTATGTGCATGAGTCCCACCAATGATCAATGACACAGCCAGGAAGGCATGGCTGTCCTTATTTTACAGATGAGGAAACTGAGGCTCAGGTTGGTGACTAAGAAAAGTAGTATGTGGCATGGGGCTTAAGGTAGCTCTCTCCATTCTGAGTAACTAGGGAGGCAGCCTGGCTCCCTAAGCATGTGATGTGTCAGGGGCCAGTAGAACAGCTTTCTGAGAATTCTTGCTAAGGCCAGAAGCACCTCCCCAGGTGATGGTGGTTCTCTACTCCTCCAGGACCTCTTGACCTCCTGTCTATCCCCACTGCTGACCTCATAGGGCCTCCCCAAGGTGCAGAGAGGGCCGGGTTCCCTCACGTGCTGGCTGCCCCAGACAGGGCGCTAGGGTGGCCCCACCCAGCCTCTTCCTTCTGCCACCGCCTGCACTGACTCACTGCCTGACCTACTACTTGGCTGGGGTGAGGGTTGGTGCCCTAAAGCCCAGCCAGGCATCAGAGGCATCTATAAAAGCACACTGGTCCAGGCCCCAGCATCCTGCTCGGTCACCATCTGTCGCTGCACGATGCTAGGAGGACTGGGCAAGCTTGCCGCTGAGGGCCTGGCCCACCGCACTGAGAAGGCCACTGGGGAGGCTGGTAAGGACCTGAGGCTCCTTTCCACCTGGGCTAGTCCCTCAGGCTGGGGGACTGGGGACTGACTCGACGGGGCCTGCCCAAAACTGATCTCAGCAGGTTTGAGGCAGGCCTTGGCCCAGCGATCAGTCACACAAAGATAGGATGGAGGTGTGTGTGTGGCGGGGGAGGGGGGGGGTGAGGAAGCTGAGGAGCTGAGGAGGGCAGCTCAGAACGGAGTCTGGAGGAGCTGACTGCCTCAAACAACCATCACTCCATGTGGCTGAGGGTAGGAAGGCGGCCAGCTCAGAGGCGGCCCCAGGGAGCCAGAGAAGAGCCCAGGTGCTGGGTGAGCAGCTAGTGGCTTGAATCCTTCCCTCTGGAAACCTGGGAGCCCTTCCACACCCAAGCAGCCTATTCTGAATATCCTATACAGGAAAAGGAAGGTGGATTTTTATTTTTACCATAAATTTAAATTTGCAAAGATTTAAGAAACCACGAAGTCTGATTCTGTTCAAAGCTCCCAGGTTCAGGGTTTATACAAAGGATGTTTGTAATGTCTTCAAAGTCCCCAGAAGTCCTTTTTTGTATGCAGACATCAACTGTATTGGGGAGGCTAATCCAGGTCCCACCTGTCTGACGGTTAAGCCTACTGCTCTTTCTAAACGGCTGGCTCGTCTGTGTTCCATTGGTTAAGTCTTGGCTGTGTTGACTGCCTTCTTTCCTCCTGAATTCCTGAGTTCTGTATTATTCCCATTCTATAGATGAAGGAACCAAGCAGTGGAGGGGGCGTTAGAACCAATTCTTCTGACTCCAGGATGATCGATTCTAGCACACTACCACCCAAATGTTAAACAGCTCCTAGGTGGGCAGAGAGCCCGCTCTGTTGGAAGAATGGCTTTGGGGAACTGGTTTTGCTGGAGGAGGCGTCGGGATTTGCTTTCTGGCTGCAGCCCCCATCTTGCTTGAGGCAGGACAGCAGCACACCTGAGAGGTGTGGTGACTTGGGAAACTAGCTTAGACTTGCTGCCAGGTTCCCAGCTGGCAGGAGGGCCTGCTCATAGGCATTTCAGACCTTGCCAGGCTGAGGGGCATTGAGGGCCCTGTGCCCTTGTCTGGCTCACTCAGTTTTTTCCCCAGCAGCCAGGACCCACTTGAATCTCTGAAGGAAACCAGCTGGGATTCCTTCCTGTGAGCCAGCTTGTCCTGGCTGGGGCGGGACCCCAGAGCCCCATTCAAGATATCCAGCACTGTGTGGACCCCACAACGGGGAGCAGCTGGCTTGCACTGTGCTCACTCTGGGATTGTCTCATCTTTTCAGTTCATGCTGTGGAGGGAGTGGTAAAGGAGGTGGTGGAGCACGCCAAGGAGGCTGGAGAGAAAGGTATGGTGGGGCCAGGAAGGAAGAAAGGAGGGAAGGAGGGAAGGAGGGAAGGAGGGAAGGAGAGAAGGAGGGAAGGAGGGAAGGAGGTGCTGGGAGCAACCCGTTCCTTGACTGAGCAGACTGGATGTTGCACCCTTTCACTTGGTATGCAATTATCTATGCTGAGGCCACAGACCAAACTTTGTTGAAGCAAGAATCAACTAGATAGTCCTCTCTGTGGAATGTTAAGAAGACAAAATCACAAATGAAAAACAAAAGACAAAAAAAAAGGAAGAACAAAAATATGATGTTACAAAAGACTATGTGGTAGCATACTGAGACAAAACATTTAAGACATAAAATGATATATTTATATAAATACATCTTTACCTAATGTTTATATGTATATGTGTGCTGTGAGCATAACTATGTAAAAAGCATATGTATACCTCATTCCTTTTGACAAAACAGATTCCAGGTGGATCCAGGACTTAACTATAAATACATGAAATTATTAAACTGTTAGAAAAGAACAGAGATTTTGGCACAATCTCAGACAGGGGAGGACCTTTTAACTATGACAGAAAACCCAATAGCCATTAAGGAAATACTAGGCAAATTTCACAATATAAAATTTGAAATTCTTCATAAACAAATAAACAAACAAAACAAACAGTTAAGCCAAGAGGAAAACCACAAACTTAGAAAAAATATCTGTAGTAGAAATAACCGAATATATAAATGGCTGAATAATATAAACAGGCAGTTCACAGGAAAACGAAGCCTGAGTAGGCAGTACACCCATGAGCAGATGCTCAGCCTCACTCATAGCTGAAGAAATGGAGGTCATTGGGAGAAAGAAAACAAAATTGGAGTGCATTCCTCCAGCTCTGCTGCCCTCCATCCCATTGCGGCTCTTCCAGGGCAGGATCCAGGAAGACTGCTACGTCCCACAGGCCACTCCAGGTGACACTGGCCCAGCAAGTGGCTTGAAATGTTTACTCTGCTCACCAGACATTATTCTTTTCTTCCTGACAGCCATTGCCGAAGCCTTCAAGAAGGCTCAGGAGACAGGCGACAAAGTGGTAAAGGAAGTCACTGAGTCAGTGACCCACACCGTCACAAATGCTGTCACCCACGCAGCGGAAGGCCTGGGTAAACTGGGACAGTGAGCACGCCTGCCACTGACTTGACTTCCTGAATCTCAATAAAATCTGTGAAATGTGTACACTGATCCCTGGATTTATTCCTGGTCAAATAGTAGCACTATTTATTCCTGTCACCTGCTGTCACACATTGACACCCAATGGGGATCAGATAGGTCCCTTGAGTAATCAATGTGCTGCTCTCACATGATGTCTCATGTCACCAAGGACCTTTTGAAAAATTGTTAGGGTCTGTGCTACATTTCTTTTTTTTTTAAAGATTTTATTGGGGAGTTGGGGGAGGGGAACAGCATTGGGGAATCGGGGGAAGGGGAACAGACAAGTTGCTGTCCTTTTTGTTCTTCAGTTTAGTTGTGGAGGACATCCCTTCACTGGCCCATGTTGGTATTATCATTGCGCTCTTCCCGGGTGAGGCAGTTGTTTGCCGGCCATTGGACAACCGCTCACGGTGGCTCAGGGCAGCTCATGAAAATGCATGCCAGCTGCCAGCCAGCCCCACTGCAGCCTATGCCAGCGCCGGCGCCTCACAGCAGCCCAGCTCCAGGTCGAGCTGTTGTTCACCATCTTAGCTGTAGAGGGTGCAGCGTCACTGGCCCTCATGTGGGATCCGGACAGGAGCCCTGCTGCTCAGAGCTGGCATCCCAAGCCAACTCTTAACCAACGTGCCACTCGGCTGGCCCCTGTGCTACATTTCTTAAAAGATTATTTTCTCAGAAACTATATATAGGTTTCAGACACCTCAATGATTCAAGGACACTCCAAAGGAGGATCATAATTCAGCTTACATGTTCTTTGGGTTTTCCTTGAAATGTTCTTACAGGAGTTAGGGAAGATAATGGACCAATGTGACTAAGAGGTTAGCTGGACAGGCTCAGACAGCTTGAGATGCTTCATTCTGAAACAGGCTTCAGAGAAGCATTGCTGCTGGACAGTCACAAAATCAGGGCAAGGAGGAACTGAGTCCACTGCTTATTGGCTGTTGAAGCCGCTGTTGGACCTCCCCTCCGATATTTGTTAGGTCTGATTGGAGGTAGGGCAGGAATGCTTGTTCTTCTCTCCTTCCTGCTACGAGTGAGTCAGTACCAGAAAGGTTAACATGTTTAAGCAGCGTTTAGCTCAACATTTTGGATTAAAAAGCATTGCTTATTTATGTTGCTGAAAGTTATTTGTTCTCAGCAGAAATTAGTAGAAAAGGCGTGTTAAGAAACAAGTTAGTTGCTCACCATATTTTTGGCTTTCTTTTAGAATTGGCTTCACAAGTTTCTGAACAGCCCAGGAAGCCAATGTTCTGGCTTAGAACATCTGCCACTGTCAAGCTATATCTACAGCTTATATCCTGGTTTTGTTTCTGTTAACTTTTGAATTCCCTCAGTTCAAATCCACTCTCAAAAGGATGAGCGCTGTCAGCAGCAGTGTAAACTGGAACACCCTCTTTGAATGGTACTTCCTCTTAGCAGACTTTACTCTTCAGGTGTACACACGGACGTGCAGATGCCCAAAGGGTGACCAGATTCACTGTGGCGTGTCTGTAACAGCACGAGATTGAAAACACCCTAAAATGCTGATCAGAAATCGCTTGGATGGCAAGTTTTGCTCTGCTTATTAGGTTTGAGATACAATACAGAGATGATATCTATTACTTCTAATGTATTGTAATGCCTCAGTTTGAAAAATAGGACCTGTGTCTAGCTGGCCACCTCTAGAGACTTCATATGTATGACGTGGAATACTCCATGTCTGTTAAGAGTGAAGAAATGTACATATGTCATATGGGAACATGTCAAATCAGTTAAGACATAAAATGTATATGTAGAATAAGCTCATTTTTATACAGCAAACACATAGTATAAAAATAGAAAAAACTCATAGCATATATGTATATATATATATATATATATATATATATATCAAACATATTAACAGAATTCATCTGTGTGTCTGTGAGAATATGAGAAATCTTCATTTTCCACATTAGATAGTATATTTCCATAATGTTTGAATTTAAAAGAAAACCAATACAGAAATATTTTAAAATGGTCATGGAGTGCCCCTATTAGCTTATTCAAGATTGTTTCCTAGTTAAGAGCTACTCAAAGTTTGCTGGTTTGCAACCTTTGTTACTACTGGCAAACAGAGCATTTATAAACTCTTAAGACATTGCCTGGACCTCCAGGAGGGTGGTCAGAGGCCAATTCCTGTTGAACAGGGTACAGATCATCTCAGGTTATTGAACCTGCATGGCAAGTTGTACACGAACTAGTCATATGACGCAGGACCACATAACACAATGAATTAGATTAAGAAACAAACAACCCCCCCAAAACTGGCCCTTCACCAGAGTTGGAGCAGCATTGCCCATGTTCCCTTAACTTTACCTTGCAGTGTGCTGTTCTGGAATAAATACTTCCATCTCTCATTTTCTGTTTACTGTGTGTGTTGTGCAATGAGGGGCATGACATCAACCTCAGGCAAACTCTAAGCATGTTATAAAAAGCAATAGAGTGATGTCAGAAAAAATGGTGCAGAAAGGACCTCCAAAAATTCTCTCCTCTATGAAACTGGTAAATGAAAAAACTGGTAAAAATATAGTCAGAATGAACTTTTCCAGAACTCTGGAAATCAACCAGTCTTACAGCAATCAAGGAAGGACTTATGTAAAACAAATTAAAAACAAACAAAACCTTATTAAGAACAGCAAACTTTGTGATGTTTTTAACTCACCCTATTCTATTCTCATTTCTTCCACATCCCCCTTCTCCAGCTCCACTATAGCCTTGAAAACCAACAGCCTGGCCGTTACTGGAAAGAGCAGAATAGGATTGGAGTTCCTTCAAGGTCTCATTCTCAGAGAACTGTCACTAGTTGACTGGACTGGTGGTTCCTAGGAAGATCCCACTGCAAGGCTGCCTTTATTTGTCCTGATGAGGAGCTCACCTACTGCAAAAAGACTTTTTCCTGGAGATGTTTCTCATGAAACATTTAGAGGCAAATTTTTAGGTTGGTGGCTGCATGAGGTGGAGAAAAACAATTTGGGCAAACAATAACCAAAAAGTGTAAAAAGAAAAACGGGTATAAAATGTCCATAGAGGCTTTGAAAATTCCAACATATTCCTGGGAATCTAAAAGGCCATGTGTAGTCCTGTGCACATGCTCAGGAAAGACCTGAGGAGGCTCAGACTCTCACCTCTGACTACCCTTGAGGCTCTGTGGAAGTAGGAGTGAAAACACAGGTGGAAATGTAAACTGCCTGGCTGAGTGTTGAAGGTGAGGCCCAATAGGCGGTGAGGCCCAATAGTCGTAGAGTCCCTTTGCAAAGACGAGAGACTTACTAGTTCTAGGTACTTAAAGAAATCTCTGTCCAATCATTAGCTGATCACTAAGCTAACTGAGTAGTTCAATAGCCACAAAGAGAAGAGACTAGAGAATTAGTTCAGAAATGTCACTAAACAAACAGCAATAACAAATCTGGGTGGAGGGGTGTGGAATCTGATTTCCAGAGTTGTCACATTATATTATCTAACATGTCCTGTTTTCGGCAAAAACAAAACAAAACCACCCCATAAAGATATGCAAGAAAAGAAATTAAAACCCATTTAAAGGGGGATAAAAGTGGAAACTATGCCTGAATGAAGCCCAGAAATCAGACTAACTAAACAAAAACTTTATATCAACTATTTTAAACATATTCAAGCAGCGAAAGGAAAGCACATCTAAAGAATGAAAGGAAATATGAGACCAATACCAAATAGCGAGTACAAATAAAAAGGTAGAAGTTGTAATAACAAAATAGAAATTCTAGAGTTAAAAGGACAACTGAAATACAAAAAAAATTTATTAGAGGGGTTCAACAACATATTTGAGCAGGCATATGAAACAATCAGTGAATCTGAAGATAAATCAAATGAGATTATCCAACTTGTACAGATAGCAAAACAAATGAAAAAACCCCCCCACAAAACAGAGACTTAGAGACCTCTGAGCCACTATCAAGAGTACCTTATTGCACTGTGTTGTACAGCTGAAACTTATTCTAAAATTAGTTTTTCACAATAAAAAAATGTGTATTTTTATTGTGTATTTCACAATAAAAAATGTGTATTTCACAATAAAAAATAATTTTAAAAAATGCAGAAGAAAAATAAAAATTAAAGAAGCTGAAAGTGGTTGTTGCCCTCCTGCACTGGTACCAAAGGGTATATTTCTTTAGGTTTTTTTTAACCTTTAAACTTATTTGCAGTTTTAAATATGTGTGCATATATTTATTTGGTAAAAATGTTATTTTTTAATGAAAAAAAAAAAAAGAGAAAAAAGAGTACTACCTTATGCATAATGAGAGTACCACAGGGAGAAAAGGGAGCAGGAAGATTATTTGAAGAAACAATGGCTGAAAAGAACAAATTTGATAACAAACATTAATCTACACTTCCAATAAGCTAAAATGAACTCCAAGTAGGATAAACTCAAACAGATGCACACCTAGGGATATCCTAATCAAACGTTTCAAAGTCAGAATCCTGAAACAGAAAAACAAGTCATCACATAAAAGGAAGCCTCAATAAGATTAACAGGTGACTTCTCACCAGAAACCAGAGGCCAGAAGACAGTGGGATGACCTATTCAGTCTCGGGGAAAAGACTGTCAGCCAAGAATTCTATATCCAGCAACCCCACAGCCTCCTCACTTCACATTGGCACAGTCCACTTCACACGGGTGACCCTGTTGTCGTCAGGGGAGACCTGCACGACCCATTCTTGGCCTGTCCCACCAGCTTCCTGACCTGCTTGCAGGATTATAAAGGCCCAAACATACAAGGTTCCTGCAACTCACAGAGGACATTGCTCTGTGTGCTCTCTACTTCAGGCTTCCCAGGGGAGAGAGGGCTTAGAGAAGAACCCATCTCTACTCAACTCACAGGATAAAATAAAGTTTGGGTGATAGGCAACTGGACTCCCTGAATGGTTGCTGAGGTTCAATGCTAAGCTGGTGGTTGTTTTTTTCATTTTAATTGAGGTGAAATTTACATAATATACAATTAACCATTTAAAAGTATACAATTCAGTGATATTTAGTGCATTCAGAATGTTATGCAACCATCACTTTTCTAGTTTCAAGCCTTTGTCACCACCTCAGAAAAACACCCTACACCTATTAAGTAATAAGTCCTCATCCACTCCCCCACACCCTGATAACTACTAATCTGTTTTATGTGTCTATGGATTTACTTATTCTGGATATATCACATAGAAACAATCAGACAATTACGGAAACTTTTGTGTCTGTC